GCAGCACAATGGTCTGACTGCAGAGAAAATGTTGCTTAGGCAAATTTTCAGTTGAAATTCCCATCCAGGTTTAGTGCACTGAGCATGTGTGTAAAAATGTGTGTTGTTCATTTTGATTTAAATTTAGACTATGTCCCCTTTAAAGTCTTCTCATCAAATATTTTTTAAGCAGAGGAAAATGAAAATGTTAATACTCTTAGACCTTTCACAGGACCCCCTTTGCATGAAAAACAAGTATGAACTGAGCTGGCTCTGCTGATAGACAGACATTTGGAGGATTTGAATAATGTCTCAATTTCTGCGCTTTATGTCAAGCTGAAGATTCACTCATTTCCCCAGTAAATAATTATTCTGTGTAAACTGGCATTAGACATGCTTCTGAGTGTCCTATATTTAGAGAATGTCTTTCCAAATTCCCAATTCACAGCGCAATAATTCATTCAATTAAACAGATTGTCTTTGAGTACAGGAAAGGATCATCACAATACCAAATATAATCAATTGAGCATATTCATTACATTTCAAGGCTTTGCCAATCACGGCCCTCCAATATTAATTTCATATTTATAACTGACATGATTATTATTTCAAATACTTCACAAAAATACATGTATGAGTCAGAAAGTGAAGACAAAGTGTTCTCCCGCTGCGAGGAAGTGATGTCACAAATGAAAGGTACTGGTCAGGCTACATGCTATTAGAGATATTTGTTATTGTTGTCTGCTGGCTGTGCAGAGACATGAAGTCACACAGGTTATTCAGTTACCGCAATATTTTGTAAATCTAATGTTACTGGTTTGGGGTCATGTACGTGTTCACCTCAGGACATTAACAACATGACAGTGGTTCATATTTACTGACAATTCTGCACTCATGAGTTGGAGCTGTGCGGTTTGACCACTTAGACACTTATTTAAAATACTACAACTGAACCATTAATTATTCAATGCCCACTCAAAATCCAACCTTATCATTATCTCATAATCAACTCAATCACCAGATAAAATTGTAATACAGTTGTAGAGATATCTGGGTCAGTGAAGCCTTCCTAAAGAAAAAGAAATCATGTCTGCAGCCTTTGCTCAAATGTGCTTAGTATGAGGGAAACTCGTTGAATTTAACTGGGATTCACATAATAAAAGTAATCCTGACATGGTTCACTTCGAGCCAGTTTTCTTTGTCAAAATATGGCAAAGATCAGCAAATCAAACTTAACTTCAAAACTGTTGTTACAGCAATAAAAAAGGCAAAAACAAAGCAAAAAAAATCAGAACAGAAACACTGACCTCTGATACCTTTAATCCTGTAAAAAGGAAAGAGCTTTTCTGTCAATGTGCTAAGACTTTCTGTTGGGTTCTTCCTATGCTTGTTTCTTTGTTTTTATGCTCGCCAATTTCTGTAAAGTACTGGCATTTTTATTTGCGACATTTGAGCTGATTACATGTCACAGCCATTTGTATCCAGAAAGCTGATTTCTGTCGAGATTACTATTTAGACTTAGTTTACAGCTCAGAATAATGTTTTTTTTTAACACTGTAAACAAATCATTGGCAAACTGTGGTAAATTATTCCCCTTATGTGCCCTTTTCTCCCCCCTTCATCAGTGATCCTGCCAGGTGTTATTATTTGGCCTCAATATGGAACTTCGGAGATGCAATTACAGAAAGTTAAATACTTTTCATACCCAAGTCACTTAACATATGTTTTAAAGTTCTGCAGTATAAGCTAGTGAGTCAGCCTTGAGTTCTGAATATTAACTGAATATCACTCTGTAAAAACCTTTGACTTTAACATAAGTCATTACACAAAGTGAAACAAGAATTTTAAATTTAGCTTTATCCAGTGTTCAGATTTTTGTTGTGGAAATGTACACAAATTATCACATATTCAGTTAGGTAATGCCTCATCTGTGTACGTAAATATAAAATTTTAGAACACTTGTAATATTGAAAATAAATATCTTTATGTCAGCAATCTACTGGGAAATTTCATGGTGGTATTTATTAATTAAAATTGTACCCTATTCACCTGTAGTGTCTCCCCTGAAGCATAGCCTCATTAGTTGTTTTCATTAGCAGTCATTTAGAAGTTCTTAAACTGATGATTCTGTTGGAATCAATTGTTGTCTTGGAAATTGCTTTGGGAAAAAAAAGTGTTAAATTTATCGTCCTAATAAGAACAGACTGTATGAGGGACAGCAGTAAGGCCTCTACTCTGATAAATGAAATGATAAATTATTTTATTCATCTTTGTTTTAGCCATTTTCAACACCTTTTAATAGACCCGTTGTCTGTCTCCACTTATTTGGTTTTGTTTTCAATTAGTTGGAATAATTAAAGCAGCTGTTTAAAATAAAAAAAACTATTTCATATCTGACCACACATACAGCAGGACTGATGGCATGAAGGACATCACCTGTGCTGTCTAGTATATCATATAAAAATGATTCTATTTTTCTGAAGTGTTTCCCATAATGTAGTCTGACTCACAGGATGTAGACTGGAGCTGTAATCCTGCCATTGGACAGCTGATTTCAGCCGGCATGCTCCTTTCCTTTCACTATCTGCATGTTACAGTTTCCAAATCACCTTCGCTACAAGAAATAAAAACACAACTTGTCAATGCGCATCAAAAAATTCCAAACTCCGTAACGCAGGACTCTTGTGATTGATGTTGATCCAATGTCTGACACGGCCAGTTGGAGTTATTTTGCCATATTTTTTAACTCTAGCAGCAGCATGCGCCAGTGATAGTGACTCCACCAATGTACTGATCTGTCACACTTTATTCAGCCTTTTGTGATATCATCGTAATAATGTTCTGTTAGAGCCACCTATAGCCAGTAAATCCACTGTGGTTTTTAGAGGTCCAGTGAGCTACTCCAGAGCTAAAATACACTTAGGCTTCACGTCAAGGGCACCGATTATCAAATTCTGTTTGTCTTTTTTTATTACTAAAAGGTAAATCACACAGTGACATACAACTGTTAATGTTTTTTGAAGCTTTTCCTTTATGAAGCCATTTTAATGACAGTGTTCACCTCCCCACATGCAAATGTTCCACATTCAACCTGACACTATTTTGCAAGAGCACTGTTGCTCCATCCTGGGCTCACTGCGGCCCATGATTACTGTGATTGGTTTAAAGAAGCAAAAACAAACCACAGCGTTTTTTCCCCCCCATGTAGCAGAAAGATAATAAGTGATTCCAGACCTTTCTCTGTGGAGATAGGCCTGGCTATGCAAGACTATAACTTATGATTAATATCTTCTTCAGTTCATCATTGCGTGCATTTGTTCCTTTTCAAGGTGTTGTATACATTAGCTTGAAATGATTCTGGGAAGACACTAACATAGTTTAGTGAAGTGAGTTGCAGCAGACATGTAGAACAGCCTAACTTAATAAAATTCTGTTTCAGTTTGGAGCCCTGCAGCACAGTCACATGGACCTGAGCAGCTCAGTCTGCAGCTCACAGCCGCCTCAACAGCTGCCTGACAGTGTGGAAGCTCCAACTCTGCTCTAATGTGTTTCATGTTTCATGACAGAATGTCAATGCTCCTTTTTGACTCCGCCACCTAAATTCACTACATGACATGAGGGAGAGAATTAACTTTTAAGAACCTGTCCATCTCGCATTTATTATTAGCAGACTCAAAATTAATATGTTGCTTTCTGTTCTGACTTTTTTTTCTCCTATGAGTATCTGGTCATAAAATGATGTGCATCTGTTTTTGTGTTTACTGAGGGTGGTGATTTTAATTATGTTTAAAGAAAAGCTGTCGATGTCATTATGCATAGAAGGCTGACTGTTCACCTCTTATATAATAGCAAATATCCACTGTCTTTGGGCTACAAAGCGGAGGAGGCGGAGGCAATCTGTAATGCTCAAACAACCCATGCAATGCTGCAAGAAACCAGCTGCTTACCAGCTTATCTACATTGTAAGACAGTGATACTGTATGCAGGGCAACTTTCTGGGAAACTGAACGATAGGACTGGCTTCAGGAACATTGTTTTTGTTAAAACTGAGAATAGTTGTGCCTGTGCCACAAATCTTGTGAAGACATGACAAACATTTATGGAAAGTTGGAATTGCAAAACAATTTGCTCTGGATTTCCAACTTTCCATAAATGTTTGTCATGTTCTTGCTTTAGGTTTCCTTTCCATCCACAACAAGCGTCAAACTGTTCCTCCAAATCTGAATTAAACATCATTCCTCTCTCCTTACACAACATGCCCTCTTCTGCTGTGAGAACCAACACTCCTCCATGTGTTTGCATTACTTTAGCCTGACAATCTGACACTGGGATTTCCTACAAGCAAGTGTAGTGTGTGGGCTGCTTTGTTGAGCTGAGATGTGCAGGGTCATGTGTGGATGCGTGGGAGGGAATGTACAGTGTCAGGTTCTAAGTATATTCACTGGTACACAAACTGAACTACCAGAAGTGTTGGCACGGCAGCTAAGTCAACTTAACTTAAGAAGAAATTATCACTCATATAAATGCACTACTCACTATTATTACAAACATGAATGTCTTTCTACAGCATCTCTTATAGTCCTGAGATCTGGGTTTCTCCACCTAGGAGGGCAACCCAGCACAGGAAATATGACGTTCTGCCTAAACTGCATGATCTGTCTCTGCCATCTAGTGGAGGATTAATATGACCGGCCCACAGGATTGATGAGACCTCCCTCCTGTTACTCTGTAACTGTTAGTTAGACAGCCAACAAACCATAGCAAAATAAACACATAATGTTATTTTAAAAGCTTTCAGTTTATCTTGTTTGATGTATTTTTCAATCATTATTTTTTATAGTCACCAAATAATCAATGAAAGACTGAAAGACAATGTTTAAAATTATAACACAACGAATTAAAAAAAGCTAGTCTTTTGACAGTTTTAGAGCACAATGCATTCAAGCTATGAAATACAAATTAAAAGAGAGGATTACCAGGAGACCGTGAAGGCAACAGTAACCATGACAACAGTACATACACAGAAAGCCCAGCCAGAGGAGCGAAGTTGTGAGCTGCATTTACTTTAACTTTATAGCGAAGTTAGCTGTTCAACTTCTGAGTGTTCGAATCAGGCGGTAGGTTGAATTGATTATTAACAATACATGAAAGAAGTGTGTTAAACAGTTAGCTTCATGCTAACCTGTACAGTATGTAAAGCCAGTTTGTTTAACACGAGAGACAGAAAGCCGGAGCAAACCTGTAACGTAACTGAGCTAGTTTGGCAAGTTAACAATTTAGCTGACTTCCAGAATAAAATGTTTTAATTTACAAACGTGATATGTTGTTAAAATACACGGAAGCTCATCTGAAGGAGCTGAAATTGTATATTCATCTAATAAACGTTTTCTAAACTGGTGCTACATTTTCTCATAAGCAGCTATCTTATGTCCAAAATCAGTCGGCTAACTATTTTTCAAAACCAGCCATACCATATAAAGAAGTTAGCATTAGACTACTTTATAATTCTTGCACAATTAATGTTTGGGAATATGCAAATATGCACCATTTTAGCACAATATAAACTAAAATAACAAACTAGAGTCTGACATTGGGTCTCTCTGCAAGAGGGTTTGGAGCAGTGATGTCAAACATACGACCTGTGGGCCAGAACAGGACCACTAAAGGGTCCAATCCAGCCCACTGGATGACTTTACACAGCTATTATTAATGCACTTGTAAAGGCTAAGAGGTGCCTGGTTTCAGGAACAAGTTTAACAGTGAGTATTGTTCATGTAAAATGCTGCTTCAGAGGCTTTTCACCCTGAGCAGAATACAGCTCTCTGTAATAACAGAGAATACTTCATACACTGTGTAAAGTATTAACAACCAGCAGCTTCAAATTGGAGTGTATGTGGCCCATGACCTAAAATGAGTTTCATACCCCTGGTTTAGAGGTTCCAAACATGTTATGGAATAAGATAATTCAAATAATTTAGTAAATTAAAAGATCTATACACCAGTAGTCCAACCTGCAGGTGTTTTGAATTTTGCCTGATTGGACCTCTTTTAGCCACCTTTATGATTATTATTATAACATTTGATGACAGCAAGTGTCTTGCTACATGTTTCCACCCAACACAGGTGTGTGTGTGTGTGTGTGTGTGTGTGTGTGTGTAGAATCTTTAATAATAAAATATATTTTAACCAGAAAATGTCCAGTCACAAATTGGAAGTTGTAAACGACATTTAGTGCTATCTGTTGAAATATGTCTAGAAGTTGACACTGACACAAAAAGCAGGCAGGAGCCCCATAGCTGAAGAGTCTTGACATCAGATAGTGACAGGTTAGAGGTGGGAACAGCCAGGGGTAAAAGTTTAAAGTGCAGTGCTTAACTCTGGTTTGCTTTGACAAACTTAAATAGTAGTAACCTGCAGCCAGATGAAACGCTGAGCCACTGCAGTGCCAGATGCCCAAAGTAACCTGAGAGATGTCATCACCACATCCCAGTAAGTATTTGTTATAGTGACATGTGTCACCTCAGGCATGTTGTTAAGTCAGTCAATGATTGATCATGTTTTCAACAGAGGGAGCAGAGATTTCTTCAGGCAACATTGTTTCAGAGACTGACAGTGCTGCCAAATCACATAAATCAGGTACAGCGGGCAGTGATTGATCTGTGAAAGAGACAGCAGAAAAACTGAAAATGTTGAAAACTAAATGCATATTTTCTTCATTACATTGTGTGCAGATATGAAGAGGAGGAGGGAGACTCGACAAAGCCCATTCAAAGTGCCAGACAGTAAAAGCATTTTCCTGCTGAGTGTAAATGAAAGAGGGGAGCGAAAAGAGGTTGGTGTTTGTTTGAGTACAACTGTGTGAATATAAAGAAACGTTTTCACACACACTGCATGATACTTGTGTGACACAGTGTCTGCAAAGAGAAAAAATCAATCACCATGTTTAAGTCCTGCTGCTGTTCTTTTTCATGTACAGGAGATGTGTAAATTCCTGTCTTTACCAATTGATGAGAAGACGACCCACGCTGCTCAAATGATAGCCAAGCTGGGGAAAGAGCTGGAAGAACAAGTGGAGGAGGAAGAAGAGGAGGTGGAAGAAAAGGAGAAGATGAAGAATCAAAAACAAATCAAGACTAAGACAGTTCTCCCTAAACAAACACCCAGCAGACATCAGCTGAAGATGGCCATGATGAAACGAGGTGACTGAAGAGAGGTGTAGACTGCATGCCATGGCTAACTTGCTACTGTAAATGTTAACTGTTGTCTCTCCTGTGTCTCCAGAAAACATTACAAAAGAAAGCAAACATGATTTAATCTCCATGGAACGGCAGAAGGCGGTGTTGGAGGTAAATGATTTCAAGAGCTGCTGTGATCTTTATAAATGTTTTATGGTGAACTTTCCCGGTGTTTCCATCATTGATAGTGCCATGAAAAACTATTGTTTTTACCAAGACATTGCTGTGTTTCTTGCTGGTATGGTGCTGTGAAAACCAGTTGTTTTTTACAGAGACGTCACAGCAATTCCTGCCAAGATGATGCCACCCAAACAGTTTTTGTACCTAAACCTAACCACATTAACCTCAGAGCTGTTGAAACGTAGAGAAATTAAAGTTTCAGCGTCCTGGCTACATAACAACGTACAAATGTAACATACTATGCATGGTTTGCAGGAATGTACAATGACAACATTTTTTCTGGCAATTGGGTTGTGGGTAAAGTTGACTCCAGAAGGAAGAATGTGTTAAATTAAAAAGTCTTGCTTCACCCTTCTGCTTCATTTTCCCCTATTCTTCTTTCATCAGTTATCTCTGATGACGAAGAGGTCTGAGATTTTGAGGATGGACAAAGCCATTGCAAAAGAGGAGGCACAGCTGAGGCAGCTTGAAAAGATTATTGAGAGAGACAACCTCAAATTTGAAGAGTTCCTCAGGGAGAACGAGAAGAAATCTGTGGAGGCCAGAACATTGTAAGAAGCATTAAGACATGTCATTTTGGCTTCACGTTGGACATTTAAAGAGTCACACTGCAAGTGGTTGTCTTTTCTTTGATGTCAGTTTTGAACAGGAGGCCAAGATCAAACAAGAGAAGAATGCAGAGATCAAGAAACTGACTGCTGAAATAGGGACCATACAAAGGTAGCACTCTGATAATGCTGTATAAAAAATGTATGAGAGTGCACATTACCCATGTTTTAGTGTGTAAACGATGCACTGACAACTATAAATAAGAGTGAATAAATTTGGAGGGACAGTGTTAAGTCTTGTGGATTTAAATCTAGTCTTCCTTTTTCACAGTGAAATTGCCAAATTTGAAGAAATCCTAATAGACTACAAGAGATACAAGGAGCTTCTGTTCCAGCTGTCTCCTCCAGAGTGGCAGGAGGCCCAGAAGACCAAGGCTTTGAAAGCTAAAGTCCTGCCTGGCGGAGACGCTGGGGACAAGCAGAATGGGGAGCTCGAGGGGTCAGCTGTTAAGAACGGCAAGTACAAAACGTAGTAAATTACCAGAAATAGATTATGAGGGCCACAGCATTGCAGGTTAATATCCTGATATTGTTGTTTTTAAAGGGACAGTTCACCTCCAAATCAAAAATACATATTTTCCCTCTTAACTGTAGTGCTATTTAGCAGTCTTGGTTGTTTTGGTGTGAGTTGCAGAGTGTTGGAGATATCAGCTGTAGAGATGTCTGCCTTCTCTCGCTTGTGATGCTTAAAGCACAAAAAAATACATTTGAAAAACTCAGCAGCAATGTTTCTTTCCAGAAATCATGACCTGGTTACTCAGGATAATACACAGACCTTGTTTTGAGCAGTTTCAGGACCTATTTTCTTCCACACCAGCCAACTGTATCACCGCACAGAAGGAAGAGTGCATCTACTGGTGGACAAGAGGTTCATGCTCATGACAGCATGAGATGTAAACATTAATTGTAATCCTTCTTGGCTGAGCTGTAACATTAACTAGCTTAGTGTAACTAGCCGTAGATGAGGCTTGCTTCTGCGCAGTTATATGGGTGATGGGTGTAGTTCAGCAGTTAGAAAATAGTTCCTACGTGAAACTGCTCACAATAAGGTCTGTGGATAGTAACCGGGTCATGATTTCTAGACAGAGACATTGTTGTTGAGTTTTACAAATATATTCCTTTGGTGCTTTGAGCACCACAAGCTGAGTGCCATCTAGTTCCATTACACTGGAGAGAAGGCCTACAGCCGATATCCCCAACACTCGGCAACTCACACCAAAACAACCAGGACTGATAAACTGCACAGCAGGTAAGAGGAAAAATGTGTGTTTTTTACTTGGGGATGGCAGTCTAAGGAGCGCTTTATTACAGTGAGTGTGGAAAGTGCTCGTTGTGTGATTTGAATGATACCATGAATGCAGGTTTGGAGGGCAAAGATTCCAGTCCAGGTCGAGAGCTGCCTTCCATGAAAGAGACCAGACCTCCCTCAGCCCACAGCGACACACAGTGAGGAAACACCAACACACTCTCCTCAGTCACAACACTGATGGTTGCTCTGCTGCATATTCAGTATTTATCTTTTACATTCATACGCAGTGATGTGGTGCTAAATAAGGCGGTTAATTCCTGACTTCCATTAAGTGTTTCAGTATAAGGCAAAAAAACAGAAATATACTACCTTCACCAATCAGACATATGTTCCTGTATAAAGATCTTTTTTTCCTTGTGGATATACACTAAGTTTATGTGGTCATTTACACATACTTTCACAATTAATTTTCTCTCTGTTGTAGCAAACAGCATGCTGTTATCAGTTGGAACATCTTGCAGTAAATTTGTTTAAAATCCTGTTTACATGCTGCTGAGAAAACTTTCTTCTGACTCCACACTCCTTCTTTGTCTTTTCAGGATCACAACCTCTAAACTGGATAGCGACAGCTCAGACTATGAGGTCAGTATTCCTTAACAGCCTCTTTTTATCTTGAGTTTACTTGCAGCGCTCACAGTGTGATGTCACTACCCCCCTCCTGCAGGAGAAGCTGGAGCAATACTTAAGAGATCCCCAGCAGCTACTGGATCTGGTGACAGAGCTGACAGACCACAACTTGTCCCTTATTCAGAACTCTACAAGGGTGGAAGAGACACTGGAAGAGCTCCGAGAGTCCATGGAGACAACCAGGAAGAAGATGTAAGGATCCTGGGTCAATGCTCTGTGATTCAGAGATTTTCGTTTTTTTTTTTTTTTTTTTTTTTTTTTTTTTACTGTTGTCTTGCTTTAAAAGGGGCACTGGTTTGCTCTCCTGAACTCTGCATGTGCCTTATGTTTTACTTGGAGTTTTTATGTTTTCAGTTCAGTTTGTTTGTTGGTTTTATTTATCTGTTCGTCAGCAAGGTTACAGAAAAACTACCGCTCTGATTTTCATGAGGGCAGGAGATATGTTAAAATGATGTGCAAGCAACACAAAAACAATGCCAATGTAAAAGTCTATTACAAACGGTCGCAGTTTCAAACGTTGTGAAAAGGTCGCAGATTTGTTAAGTTTCAGGAAAGACGAGCACTTTCTTTGTCTTTACGTACAGGATGTCTGATGTCAGACATCCTGTACGTAAAGTGCTCGTACTCGTACAAACGGTCGCAGTTTCAAACGTTGTGAAAAGGTCGCAGATTTGTTAAGTTTCAGGAAAGACGAGCACTTTCTTTGTCTTTACGTACAGGATGTCTGATGTCAGACATCCTGTACGTAAAGTGCTCGTACTAAAGTGCTCGTCTGACATAAACGTATGAAGTATCATAAAGTACCTTCACTAAGTATTTTGCGAAGTTATGTAAAGTATGTAAAGTCACCTAACTACGTTGACTTTTCGTTTCGCAGGGAGACAGACAGTGGTCTCCTGTGTGAAAGTCCATGTTTGGTTGACCCATCTACTACCTCTCCTGCCCACTCTATGTAAACTTTGTCACTCTTTATACTTATTTTGTGTGTCCACTACGACAATGGATCCTCGTAGACTTTGCATTGGCATTGTTTTTATGTTGCTAGCATGTAGTTAAGAGTTTGTGTCCATGTCACGTACATCTATGAGACTGGGCTGGGCATTTGGCCTTAGTGGACGAAAGACAATACATCCTAAAATCCAGTAAGTTGTAGTAACGTCTAATAGTGACAAGACATAGGCAACTGTAGAAATACGATGACTCTGTATCACATTCCACATTCATGGGTACCAATAATCCTCCGGAGTAGCCTGCACATGTAACTGCTCAAACGTCATACAGAAAAACAGGCGTTATAAAGTGCTTATTTTACATATAGTGGTTGTGGTAACAGTTATACACATCATAGAAGACTGTACTATTGGCCTTGGTGGATGTCTGCAGTCCGTGAATATCCTTTTGGTAACCTTGTTTTTTTCTGTCTGAAGTGAAAAGGACGAAGAGCAGCTAACACTGCAGATAGCCGACATGAACCAGAGAATCGACATAGAGAAGGCAAGAGGCGCGAAGCTCAGACAGAAGGTTCAGCTCCATGTTTCACTGAACACAGAAGACCAGGTAAGGAAGCAGAATGTGTTAAACTGCATTTTAATCCAAGATCTGAGCAACACACACCCAGACATCATGTACAGTGGCATTAGCAGTTGTAAGCGGTATCTGGTGTCATTATCTTCTCTCTTCATTTTTTTCCTCCTCTTTGATCTACTCCACATCCTTGTTGTGCTTGCAGGATGTTATGTTGGATGCTCTGGGTGAGAAGGTGGTAGAGGTCCATCGCTGCTGCGTGGATGACAGAATTACCAACCTCAGCACCTTGGAGAAACTGGCCAATATTGAGAATCGCATGTCTTTACTGCTGCAGGGCCTCGAGAGCATCCCTGAAGAGAACTTAGAGATAATGAAGAAGATCAAGGACAGTGAGAAGAGGAGCAGGTATATGTCTCAGTGAATTTACCTTCAAGAAAAAAATGGCATTCATCACAATATAGCTCCTGAAATGCATTGCATTGCATGTTTTTTTCTCAATATATTATTTCCAGACTTGATTTAATACAGTTTTTTAAAAAGAAACAACTGTCTTTCTACTGTACACCATGTTGCAGGCAGCGTGAGGAAAAGCTGAGAGAGCAGAGAGAGAAACAGAAGGAGAGGATGAGGAGGTACTTGGAGAGATCTCTGGCTGACTCCAAGAAAATAGTAAGTCACTTGCTGCATTTATAAAGTGTGGCTCTGGGTGAGTTAGGTGAAAACTGTTTAAATACATTACAGCTCACATTGAAATGAAAACCTGACTAAAACTGGGTTTACAATTAAAGTAACTTGCACATTTTCTTTCAGACAGGGAGAAAGCTCATGCCCAGATGCAAACCTGTTGCCCAGAAAGTCAGAGTCAGGAATGTGGACGACACTTCTGCTGAAGATGAGATGCATGCCTACCTCTTCAGCTCTGAGGATTTAGAGTAAAAATATGACAATTACATTAACAAAAAAAAAAAAAGAATAAATCCACATTAGCTGAAATGTTAACACAATTATTGCATGATAGTATGATGTGTGATAGCGTACGTGTATTACTTTATTTAATTGGATATGGATAGTAGCATTAGAGTTGTAACAAACATTTATGCACAAGGAACAGATGCACTGTTTTAATTGCTTTTAGAAATGAAAGCAATTTTTCACCTGTCCAGGAGGCTTGTTAAAAACAGAAGTACATCCATAAATACATACACAAAAATACATACACATTTAGGCTACATACAAAAAATACTGGTATGTCTACAGAGGTAGGCTATTAGGTTTGAAAACAAGATTGTTTCTCTTTTAGCCATGATTAAATTCCTCTATTGAAAACATTGGAAATGTGTAGCATTGTTAATTCAGTTAGACAGTTCCATAGTTTTGCCCCTTCAAATGGGCAGTTCACCCTAAAGTCAAAAATACATATTTGCCTCTTACCTCTTATTTATCACTCTAGATTGTTTTGGAGTGAGTTGCCAAGTGTTTGAGGTACCAGCTGTAGAGATGTCACACTAACAAAGGTTTTCAGTTACAAATCAAATGTTTGTTCGCATATTTTAATGTATTCATACAAAATGTTTTCTCACATTCATATATGGTGATACACAGCTACAATACTTGAACTTATTTTGTTTCAGCAGAAGTGTTTCATTAAAGGAGGGCTCAAATGATTTCAATAAATGTTCTGTATGTAACTTTTTATCATTATTAATGTTTTTTGTTTTTTGTTTTTTTTTTTGCCAATGTAAAAAAAAAAAAAAAAACACACACACTTTAACCCGTCTTTCTCGTGGCCTACAACAGCCTGTGGACTCACCTCTCTGCAGGGCTCTGGACTGCGACCAAAATGGTCGCATATGCAACCATTTTTTGGGAGTGTGCAAGTTAAAATATCATGTGGTCGCACTCAGGCAAGTGCATGATGCAGTCTGAAGTCTCTAAGGTGACAAACAAAGTGACAGCGAGCTCATAACTGGGTCTCACGTGGGTGAAATGCACATCAGCAGGTCCACCATACATTCATCAGGTGTATGAAATATCAGTATCATTACTGCTTTGCATTTTTATAAACAATGATTATCTGCTCATCCATCTTGTCACGTATGTCATGATGTGTGTTTTATACACAGAGCTAACAAAATAGTAGTGGGAGGCCTCTTGCAGTATGTATCTGACAGACCAATTGGATCTAAGATTGTTGAGTCTGCATATTATGGGATGTTTCAGGCGACAAGGTTAAGCGGCAAGTAAAATATAGCAGCCACATGTTCGTCACACAGTAATGTCTCACACAGTATTATTTTGTGTAAAGAAAACACTAAAGTTACATCCAGTAACAAACAGCTGAACGTTACCAGTGAAAACACTGGGTGTTTTTGCAACTCAAGTGTAGAGGATTGTGATGCTTATTAAGTTACAACTTTAGTAATATCTGCTGCCTTGCGTCAGACACAAAGCACTGCTCACTCACCGGAGCAGTTGCTCTAGTCTCTTGGCCCGTCCGTGGCATGGCAGCCTTCAGTGTTAACAGGCTATTTACTTATGTGTAACCTGCCAGTGGAAAAGTAAGAGAAGTGGAGCCCAATATCCCAGGGAAATCAAAGGTTGTCATGTTGTGTGTTCCAGGGTGCTTTCCCCTCTTCAGCTCTGCTACAGCAGTGTGCAGCAGTAGCTAACGTTAGCAAGCTAACTAGCTAATTCTTGTCACATTTGTGGTCTGATAAAGTTAATCCATCAAATTCAGTGCCCCATGTCATAAAATCAGCATTGAAGTGTGAAATATTTTGTGATATCGTGGTTTGAGCAGGCTAATGGTAACTAATGTTAACTTGCTTGCTAACACGAACAAATTGCTATCTAGCTAACGTAGCAAAATACTGTCTTGAGTGATTAATGCCATTTAATTAATCCAGACTCCAGGCTTGATCTGGCTGGCAAATTGGCTGTCTTGCCATTTGCAAATTATTTTATCAACTAATGTTATGAAGCAATCAATACCAGATCAATACAGTAGCCTATAGTTTAGTTACAGTTAGCTGACTACGTTTGCTCACTAACATTATCTCTAGCAAAATGTGGAAGTTAATATTAGTTAGCTAGTTTGTCAAAGTACTTGCTAACATCACACATGATATTAACTTTTGTATTATGACAATCTGTAAATTTAGCCAACAATAAATGATGTAACATTACAAAGTGTTTTCTACTAACATTAGCAAAGAGCGATGCAGTGGCAGCCAACAAGCTAACCCCAACCTGAGCTAATGTTAGCAGTTTGTCAGTTACTCTTACCTGATCTAGTAAACTGATGTCACATGGAAGTTTGAATTGAGTTCACCTAGCTCTGTCTATTAAGTATTGAAATCTACTAAATTCTTTGAGAACAAGTAAGATATTTCAATGCAAATTTTAAACAGAGCAATAACTTGAAAGTTAATAATCACTGTCTAGTACGTTCACTACCACAGCATGCAGAAACAAAGATACTTCAAGCAAAAGTAGATATATATCCTTGCACTTGAAGGTAAAATTAGATATTTGTTGGCTTGGAGCCTATTTTCCCATGTTTTTGTGTCTAAGTGACTAATGGGAGACAATTTTTTTTAAACTGGTCCGGTACTGAGGGAGACTGCTCCAACCACAGCGGCAACACAGGATGTAAAGTATTACCTACAGCCAATAGTAATTTGCGTCCTCTAAAAGTACTTGTTTTTGCCACTGACAGGCTCAGATTATTATTAGAAGTGTGTGATGACATTTCGGAAAGGATCCTGCAGAGAAATTAAATGTTTTTTCAGTAGCTTTTGCTGCTCTTCTCAAAATGACTTATTGCAGAAAATGACTTGTGGCACAAAAAACAACAGTGGAGAAAAGTGGAGAGTTAGAGAGGAGTGCCGACAAGAGTTTGTTATGTTGGAGAACAGAAAGTGTAAATTAGTGTTATCTAAATGATTTTGAATATTTTTAAATATTTAGCTGATTGCAGCAATGTGGAAAGTCTGTAAAATTTCAGAATGAGACTTCTCCTTGAGTGAGACTTACACTTACACACACTAACAAACACACCGCATCAGCAAAAGGTAAGGAAAACTGTTTTTGATTGTTGAATGGTGGGAAGATGAATCGAGACAACTTATGAGCGTTTACGTCATTTCTCGGCTTTGGAATGGAATGGAATCTAGTGGGTTTGGTGATAGAGATTTCAGGGCTGTTTCTGCTTAAACAAAAAGGAAATTTTAGGACAAAAGAACACACAAATAAAGAAAAACATTACAAGAACATTAACACATAGAGTGAGATGTGGTTATTGCTACACACACACACACACACACACACACACAATGTATTATCTAAGGTTAGCAGAGTCAGAGTCCGGCCTGCATGGTATTATATAGTCCATCCATTTCTTGCAGCATGAAATAAATAGGTACCTCTTGTAATTCACATCTGCTATCATTAGGATCTCTCTCTTTAAATGAAAGGGTCGACCTCTATGGGAATCATTGGGGCAACTAGGGATTTCCCCAACTCCTCAAGAAACAGGTGCCTCCTAAACAGTTTCCTCTGGTTCCAGCTGGGATCCACCGCGATAAAGAGGATGAAAGCATTATAGGAGGAGACGTCCAAGATGTTGCAAAAAAAAGGGTCTGTGGCCACCTGCAGGACCTCCGACGACAGCTGTAGGTGCCAACAAGCTTCAAAAGAAAAAGAAATGCCTAAAGAAAAAAAATGAATTAATACAAATATTCTTCCTCCACACAAATACAGACTATCTGTCATTTATTAGAGAAATATATCAAAAATACTCAATAAAATGAACGAAATAACCCATGGCTATATCAGAAAATTACATGTATTGAGCAACAACAAAGTAAATTTAAAATTGCAAATAATTAATGTGTAATGGCACATACTTTATCCAGGTTATCAACTGCACCTTTTCAGTGGTTGTAATCAGTCCCAATCTTAGGCTTCTTCTTCTTCGGTCCTACCTCCACTGCTGGCTCCCTGTGTTTGGTGCTGAGCAGCAAGACATTCCTCCCTCTCTTTGGCATGTAAGACAGCTGTTTGGGTGCGAGTGAAGGCGAACACTGAGGACAGCAGTTCTCTCAGCTGGGTCTGTAGTAGCTGCAGGGAGAGCTCCGGCTTGTTTTTTTGCAAGGTGCCCACCAGGGTCATTTTCCTCTTCCGTAGCTCCTCCGCCAGTGGAAACGAAGTAAAAAAATTATCCACTGTGACAGTGTGGCCCTCAAGTCCCTCTGTCAACTCAAGGACCACTCACATCCCTTGGTTAACCTCTCTCTCTCTCTGCACCTGGATACCTCCTGGTACATTCTCCAGGCATATGAGGTCTTCACATCACAGATTACCCAGACTTTCAACCCATACTTGACAGGTTTGCTTGGGGTGTATGTACGTCACATACATCTCGACCTGGATTGCAAAGGAGGAGGAGCCGTTGCTCCACAAATCCCACAAACCCGGGATGGCAGCCATCTTATCCCCCCGTTGATGCGCTGTTCTACTCAGGCGGTCGTCGAACCTGAGGGCCATGCTGATCTGCTGGAACCTCCTCTTGGACATTGTAGCGCGAAATATTGATCGTCCTGTGTCCTCAGCCCAGTGGCTCTGTGTCCTGGGATCTTTTCTCAGCAAGGAAGAGCTCAAAGGATGCCTGGGCCCTGAGGTCAGAATTGGGGGTGGAACATACCGCAGAGTCTCTTCAGGGGTTGGAGCCCAGATCAGCTGCCCATTTCTGGATTTCGAAGCATCCGCATCCTCCTCCTCCTCCATGTCCTCATTTTAGCTGGAGGTGGAAGACCCATCATGATCAAATTCAGGTGAAGCCTCCCCTGATTTCTCCTCACTGCCTGTTTCAGTCTGCTGGACACCTCCTCCTCGCCCTCAGAGGACTGCAGGACAGCAGTCAGAGTCTCCTCCAGTGAAAAGCGTCTCTTCATTTTTGCTTAAGAAATGACCAGCCAAGCAGGCTATACATGCACTTATAGGTTTGCAGCAACAGGACCTGAGTAAACATTGCTGCACTGAAAACCAAAACAAAAAAGAATTTGCTTTGGTAACAGAGTGCTTCTTTGATCTTTGACCTTTTGACTTCTATCGATCTCTTTTTTTTTCCTTTATTTATTTATTTATTTTTTTTTACAAGTACTGTAGTGTGTATGGGGCTCTGAATTGGTAATTTTCTCAATGTACACATATGTACCATACTTTTACATCAATACCAACACACCCAGACCATTTTAGTTGTAATCATGACTCCATCTGTGCAATGCAAGGGGCAATATGATCCAAGATTTTAAATGCTGTTTCTCAATGTGGTCCTATTTCTCAAAAATGACCATAAATCGACAGTAGGTGGTGGTGTTGAACATTTGTGTGCTCCCTGTCATCAGCCGGAGAGGAAGGAGGATGAGGAAGTGGCTGGAGCAGGACTGCACTTTGAGATGTAGCGACCCACACACCAATGCACCAGCAGCTGTCAGGAGATTACTAGCTAGGCAGCTAGATAATAGTAATATTTGACAATGCGATGGGTAACTGCTGGGCATACTGTGTCGGGCTCTTCAGGAGAGAAGCCAACAGGATCCAGAGAGGAGGCGGGTAAGTGAAACATGACATTAGCTAGGTGAGCTAACTAGCATAGAAGCATCATCTGAACCAGCGTATCCGGTTACTGCTAGCGTTAGCTCCAAGTTAGTTAGCCGATAACTGACACCACAGTATGTCTGTTAGGACGTATTGATAGCTCTGTGTGTGAGCCTGGTAGTGGTGTTGTAACTGTGTATTAAAGGTGAGTCAGTTAGCAGTAGTGGTTTCGTTACTGAAGGGTCCCTGTGGGGTCTAACCTGCAGCCAGCCAGTGTCAGCAGGACTCAAGACCCCACCCCTATTGTCAACACTGTGGACATGTATGTTAGTTCCGTCTCATCAGACTAGAGCCCTGGTATACAGACACACTGAGAGAGGGCTGTGTAACAAGTCTTTGACAGTAATTGTAGAGTAATATTTGGACCTTGTAGTTAATTTAGTCTTTATCCATGTACTGAGTCTCAACTGTCTGTTTCTTGTGTTATTTGCAGGCCATTATGACATCATGTTTAGGTTAATAATTTATGTTTTATGGTCTGACTTTACATTGTGCTTTGTTATGATTACAGAAGGCTTGCTCTGATCCAGCAGCAAGCTGTTTCACACTCATTTATCACTGGCATATGTTTGAATACTGATGTGAACAGATACAGTGGTAGTTTCAAAATATTAGTCTGGGATTGACAGCTTGGAAACCTCATTTTAATGCTCGTATTAGGTCATGTTTTAACATTGTAAAATGACAGCTATTTCAATTGGAGTAATATAGTGTGTGTTTTATGCCACATGCAATATAGTGAAATAGAAAAAATATATGTTTTATTTATTTTGCATAGACACAAGGTTAAACATCTCTCTCTAAACATCTTAAAGGAACAGTTTACCCCAAAATCAAAAATAGATTTTTTTCCTCTTACCTGTAGTGTAATTTATTAATCTAGATTGTTCTGGTGTGAGTTGCTGAGTGTTGGAGATATCAGCAGTAGAGATGCCCTCTCTCCAGTATAATGGAACTAGATGGCACTCAGCTGCTCAAATCCCCCAAAATACACTGGAAATATGCAACAGCAATGTCTTTTCAAAAATCATGAACCAGTTACTCAATATAATCCACAGACCTTGTTGTGAGCAGTTTCATGTAGGAACTATTTTCTTTCTGTTGAACTACACCTGCCAACTGTATCATCATGCAGAAGGAAAGTGTGCATCTACTCATGGAAGAGAGGCCTTGTAGGCGTCCTCCTCGGCTGAGCTGTGATTTTAGCTAGCTCAGTGGTGCTAGGTGAACTAGACCTATCTCCACAGCGCTGTCTTTGCACTAGAGAGAGGTCTAGAATCACAGATTATCTGTATCCTGTGGGGGAAAAACTCTGTGGCTTCTTTTTGTTACATTAAACCAATCACAATTGTGTTGGGCGGCGCTAGGCCTAGGACACAACGAAAGTGGTCTTGCACTATATGTCACGCATGTCACATGCCAGTGCCAGTATGTCGTTGTGTGATGCACTTTTAGTGGTTTAAAAAGGCAAACACAAATTGATAATTGGTGCCGTAGAGGTGAAGCCTGACTAGGAAGTCAGTGGACCCGTTAAAACCACAAATGATATGCTAGCTGTATGTAGCTAGCAGAAAATGTTTAGGACGATATCACAGGAGCTCGTGTGAAGTGTAATGGATTGATACGTTATGAATTTATTGTCATTGACTTCAAAACCTGCCATTTTAAGTTGTTCAACTCAGTAGTTTCCTGTAGTGAAGGGGATTTGGAAACATTACCTTGCAGATAGCAGAAGGAATGGGGCCTTCCAGCCGAAATCAGCACCCTAATGACAGGCTTATAGCCACAGTCTACATCTGGTGAGTCAGACCACAAGCCAAGTGACATCTAGTTCTGTTATGTTAGAGAGAAGGCAGCCATCTTTATGGCCAATATCTCCAACACTCAGTAACTCACAGCAAAATAATCTAGACTGATAAATAGCACTACAGGTAAGAGGGGAAATATGTATTTTTGACCTGGGGGTGGCCTGTCCCTTTAAATCAATCCTTAACTTAATTAAGGACATAATTAGAAAATGAGTTAATAAGTCAGCTATGTCACATAAGCTTTCCTATCACCTGTCAAAAACAAAACACCAGCTGTGAGGTCATTGTGAGGGCAACATGCCTTAAAGATTCAGCCAAAAGAGAGCAATAGATCTATTTCACTGCAGACATTATGACAAGTCAGCACAAAATACACAGGTGCGATGCTAGGTGAATGCTTTTTTTGCGTGTCTATTAGCCCATTAACCCTTAGATGCACACATCCCCAGAGACCCAGATTTATCACAGACTGTGCAACAAACTAAGATGCCATTGTATCTAAACTTATCAGAACATCATTTTAAAAACGATAAATCCTTGAAACAGATTTGTGTCATTAAAAAAAATGTTTCCAATCATTTTTAAATTTCAGGACTCTGCAGGCTATTATATATGATGATATATATTGTCCTGTGTCACACATGCTGTGTTACTGTAACTGCTCAGTGACTGGCTCTTACTAAACCAAATTAGTCAGCACAGAAATCACAGTCACTGTCTCGTGGTCATTACAACATGGCTGTCACACTGTGCTTCCACTTCTGAATTGGACCCTGATTTGAACCCTTCAGTATGAAAGTGCTGCCTTTGACGAGGTGAACAGATGAATTTACCTGTTAAGCCCTGAGAATATAGACACAAAATGCACCACTGCATTTATAGCAGATTGCTGTCATTTGGGTTCAATGCTGAAGTTTTAGCATAAGTTATATTGTGTGTAAAGTTGACGAGGTCAAGTCTTGGGACTGTTGCAGATTCGCAAATTCACTGTGCAGTGAGGCAAAGAAGTGCCAGAGCTACTGAGCTACTCAGTTTTTCATGTCTTGATACATGTTGTGTTTGATGTGAGGGGTATACAATGTAATCATCATCACAGCTCTGTCATGTGAATTTGCAGCTTTTCAGAATAAAAATTTAAGCTTACATCACCTTTTAGATGTCTCGGATTATTGACAATGTGTTCATACTCTCTTAATTCTTCCTGCAGGTCAAAATACTTCAGAAGCAGTACCACAGGGGAACATTATACAATAGAGGTATGAGTTGTACATTTACTAGTATCGATTTCTGTTATTAATGGTGACTGTTGAGTATAATGTTAGTTGTCTAATTGTGTCTTTTAATTTTGCAGTTTGAAAATCTGGTAGAGAGTGATGAGGTAAGTGATCATGTTATAATGTTCTGTTTATACAGAAGAGCTTCTAGACCATTGACTGTATAACATAATGGACATAGTCCCAGTGACGTCACCCACTGATTTGTGGACTCCTGTTTTGAAGCCTTAAATTTGGCATTTTGGCTGTTGCCATCTTGGATTTTTGGAGCCAGAAGTGGCCATAATCAGTAGAGAGGGTGGAGCTGTTGAGGAGCGAGGGGTGGATCTGACTCATTCACTGTGTTTCTTTAGTAGTTTCACTTCCTCTAAGCCCTTGATATCACGTAACAGTATATGGAGGCCACTTGGAGAGCAGAGAGAAAGTGGATGGGGGATTTAAATAGAACGCACCTGCCCTTGTACACTTTTATGGATCAACTGCCAGTTGTAGGTTTAGCGCTACACTACCTTTTACCAAATCACCAGAAGTAAAAATTTGTAAATTCCTGATTGTGATCTGTTTTATGTATCTGCTAATGGGCACGTAAACCCATACACATCAAAGCTTACCGATACAGACCTATAAGATATATTAGAAAACATGCCCCTAATTATGTGTAACTTTAAGATTTAATAAAATAAAGCATAGCTATAGACTTGCACCAGGCTGTAAACATGTTTATTTGTGCTGTAAAATTGGATGAGTTCTATGGGGATTGTCTTGTTTTGGAGCCAGCCTCGAGTGGTCATTAAAGGAACTGCAGTTTTTTTCACTTCCTTGTTGGCTTCATTTTTTAGCCTCGGAGGTTGCCACTTGTTTGGGACCTAAATAAGAAAAACATTGTCAGTGAGTTTTCTCTCATCTCTATTATTGTTATACTGTTTCAGAACCAATTACATTGTAAAAGACTGAGTGAGTGTTTTATAAGATGTATAGTCTAACTAAAAGCGGCATTATGCTGATATTCCCAGGACACTTTTTACTTCAGACTCCCATCAGACCTTCCTGCAATAGCCGTCCTACACTGATGGATAGAAAATGATGGCTGCAGCAGCCACTGCTCATTACTGTGGGAGTAATTCGATTACTGTCTCCAGTCCCAGACTAGTTGCACTTGAGTCAAACAGTGCGGCAGGGAAGATTCATCTGACACAGTCAAGGCCGTATGGTAAAATGTTGTGTTTGTTGCATTGCAGGCTGAGAGCCCACAGCCCTGCCCGAGGTAAGAGATCTGGTATGAGTCTAAAAAAGATAAAAATCAGTATTCTTTGACAAAAGAACAATTAATCTTGAAGTATGTTGTCGTTCTTGTATAGGCCCATCAGTGAAGATGAGATCAAACACCTCACAGAGCACCACTACACTGCGATCTCAGACAAGCAGATCCTGATAGACCAGAAGCTACAAGTGGAGGTAAGACGCACTCTGTCTTTGTTGGATTAACAGCCACCGTTATTTCATTTTATGTTTTAGACCTGTTTTTGCCTTCTTTTTAATTTGCTGCATTGTTTTTTCTGTTTTTGTAATTTTCTGTTCTGTGTTTTGTGTTTGTTTCATTTCGTTGTTTCTGCTCAGTTAGAGGAACAAGAGGAGAAGTTGAGGCTAGAAGAGGAGGCTAGAAATGCCGCCCAGCGCGAGGCCGCCAGGTTGGCACGTGAACGAAAAATGAAGGAGGTGAGGCGGCACTGAGCGCTCCCTTCTGCCAGTTTGACTTACTGCTTGGCTAAAACAACTTCTCCTCTAACCTGCTGGCCCTGTGCAGAGGCGTCCCAGCGTTACAAGTCCTCGGCCTTCTGTGTCTTAAAGGAACACAGTGATATTTTCTCCGTTCAGTCTTTTTGTCCTCATTAACATGTCCTAGTTATCCACTGTGCTAATGTGTTGTCTCTCTCAGCACTTCACTTACCTGACAAACAACTTGTTAGCATTGTTAGCATTCCTACTCATTCTTTTAGACAAATAATGAAAAGGTCCATCATAGCTGCAGTGGAACAAAGCTCACTATCAGTATTTTGGTCACTTTATAATGGAGAGGCAAAAGGCATCACATTTATTTCAGTATGGCACTTGAGGATGGAATAATGGCCAGTAGATGATGCATGATATGCAACTGGGACTCAAGTGCCAGTGGACATAAAACTTGCAATGACCCTGATTCATAAGTACAAGCAGTGAAATGAGGAAAAGACCAGGCCCAGGCTGCAAATAACAGCATTACTTCTGCCTGGCTTTTGCAGTCATTACAGTCCCTGCATCATTAAGAGAGAAATGTGGACTATTGGAATATAATAGTATTGCAGCAAGACAAATATCAAGGCTATATATTTCCGATACTGATTCACGGAAGGGCCTGCTGCAGGGAAATGGCTTTTCACAGTATGTGATATATAAAAGAAAGTCTGGCTCTGCTGGGATTTGAGATGTCTTTGCTTTTCATGCCACATTCCAGTGCTTCTCTGGTGTTGCTTTGTTTTATTTAAGTTATTGGCTCTAATGTTTCCTTAATGGCAGCAAAACTGTTCAGTACTTTTAGTCTGTGTTTAAATGATGGGAAGACAGGGCTTTTTTTTCTTGATCTGTGGGTTTTTTGTTAGCAGCTGTCTGCCCAGAGGACACGGGGGAAAGCAGATGGCTCCGGCGGTGAAACTCAGCAAAGAAAGTAAGTCACTTAAGTTCATTAGACAACAGGATAGCTGTGTAGCTGAGGACAAGCTGCGGTCATGAGGCTCTTCATGGGCTTTATTAAGTCTACTAAAGTAGATATACTTAGAGGACTGTTGCTGGATATATTTAAAGAGGCAATAAGTTGAAGATTTAATGTCAAACATTTCCGTATTACAACATCTAAAAACGACAACACTTATGTCATGTTTTATTCAACTGTGTGCTTACACTATCTCAAATGTTTACAACAGTGTTCAAACTCAGAGAAATCTACTTTATTTGATCACCTGTCCGTGATGTCATTTAACTTTTACCACCTCTAGTCGGGGAGACAAGGGAATGTATGAGGCGAGAATAAATGTAACTTGAAGAAAACCTAAATACATTTCCTCATCCGTGAACATTATTCTTGACTGAGTCAAGTCAGATAAATCAGCAATCGTGGTTATGAAGACAGCAACTCCCATGATCCCACGCCACTTCACGGCCTCATCAAAGTCCATCTTTTGTTATTGTTACGATTGTAAGACCCATAGGGGCAGAAATAACATACGGTGCGTGTTTAAAAGTCTTTCATCTCTGGCAGATGCAAAGACAGATTTGAAAACCAGAACTTCCAGCATGTTGCAGATCAGTCAATTAATAATTAGTATAAATCAACATCTCTATCAGCACCGCAGATGTGTGATATTTTAATTTGTTGCTGTTATCCAGACAGAATCTCACATTGCATATTTCTTTTTTAAGCTCTCACCAGAAACATTGATTTAATGATGCGAGCACACAGTTTGTTCCTGCAGTGTGTAGGCTGCAGATGAGCTATTAAAGCACTACAAGGTATCCAGTGTCAGAATTCAATGCTTAACTTATCTTCACTGTGCCAGAAGGGAGCTACAAACACAGAGGAATAGGACTCACTAAAAACCTTAGCAGGAGAGATTATTCAGGCACAGAGTTATGAGTGACTGCTCTTACACATCTGTTGTCGTTGTGTTGATTGTTTTCATGCCCTGTTCCAGACAAGCCTCTGGAGAGGATTTTGACGTCTACCTCCAAAATGTAAAAGCCCAGTCAGAAGCTTTCAGGGGCAACAGTAAGTGAACCATCTTGCTTTGAATATATTGGCTCTAATAATATACCGGTACGCATGCACGTGTTTATCAGTTCAAAGCATATTACATAACCAAGAAAAGGTATAAGAGTTACATCCTGTTGTAATGATTGACTGTTTGTTTCCAGGACTGCCATCTGACACCAACGTGTTGACTCCCAACACAGAGTGCAGCTGGGACTTCACCACCAAGACCCGCTCCACCAATGATGACGGGACCTCACTGGATCTAGAGTGGGAAGATGAGGAAGGTGAGAATTCAGTTTTTTTGCTCAAATTGGAAGACTTGTCTCTGAGCAGTTGATTTTATTCTCAAGACTTTGCTCTGACTCTTCAGCTGCAAATATGAAAAAACTTTTGGTCTGTCACAAATCACTAATCCATCAACTGTTCTTGCAACATCTTGATTGAACTTTGACTGAAGATCGATCACACCAGGGGACAAGTCAGAGATTTCTCTGCCTCCAAACTGGTGCTTCAGTCATTTCGCAGCCAAGATTGATTCTGTTTTTCAGTGATACTGCAGCAAAGAGGGGGAGGAAGAGGCAGAGCAGGCCATCTGTGCATAGTCATACAGTAAATCTTCTATGTATCAACCCTTCACAAAAGTCCCAAACAAGTTTTGAATTACAGGTGTTAAGTCCATGTGTAGGGATTCTTCGTTGCCATTTAGCAATAACACATTGTGGGCATATTCAGTACAATCATCAGTGCTGTTTAGGAAGTCTTGCAGTAAATTCTGCTGATCTTAGTGTATTTTTATGTCTTTGGGTACCACTGTTTTTTTCTCCATTCATCTTAGTGTTGTCAGCACACTGTGGAAATGTCACTGAGTTTTACTGATTCAGATTTTCCTCCTCATCAGTTGGACCAAAAGTTACTGACATGTAGGAAAATTTGAATCAGCAAAGATTCTACACAATATGTATTTTCTTTTATATTTTACATAAATAAAATCAACTGATTTCATTTTCACATAGAAGCAGTAGTTTTGGCTCGCTGGATAGCTTTGTTGCCAGCCTTCCGGCTTTGTGGGCCCTTTCACCTCCTGTCTGAGGTTGAACCTGGCGGCTCTCTTTCTGGCCATGGAGCTCTGTGGCTGGTTTCCAGGCTTCAAGCTTGGATGTGCTGAGAGACCTGGATATAGCACTGGAGGCAGGGCCCTGTTCATTCTAATGGAAGTTGCTCAGTGGTGCATGAAGCCAAAAAAAGCTCAGTTTCTGTGGTTTGAAAGTACCTGGATCTTGCGCACTGTGGGGCCTAGAGAGCAAGCGCACTAGAGACTTTCAAGGCCAAGTGTGGCAAAGCAGCCAACCTCCATCGACTGAGCAGCTGATTTCCAGTTTAGCACTCTGCTAACTTTAACGGGGATAAGACAGTCTTGTGGCTCTTCTAGATTTTCAAAATGTTATCAGACCAAAAAGATCAAATCCTCATAGCAAGACGACACATTTTGCGGGGGTTATGACACTCAAAATGATTTATCCAGTGATTTACAGACGTTCCTTTCCCAATGTAAGTCTATGGGAGAAATCTTTTTGGGCCCCATAGCATGATGTGACGGACCTGGTAATTGTAATTTCACTTTTGGCCACTATGTAAAATTGTCATCAAAGCCTGGCTCTGTTCTTGGGGGCTTGACTTTCAGACACTTTGTGGCACTTCCAGCCAGATGCACTTGTTCACCCAGATGCACTCTCAGGTATTGAAATTTGGCAACATTAATCAAAGTATCAATGGAATTCTGTCGGTTTCCCTAAAAGTACCAAGTTGCTACCCAACCCTAACAAGTATAAGTTGAAAGTGTCTGCCCAGTACGGCAGCAGTAGCATTTCACTTATCAAAAAACGAGAATAAGGAGAGTTGACCAATAAGACAATGGCAGGATTTGTTGTAAAAAGGAAAAGCAAAAGCCCCTATTTGGCAATATTTCAGATTCAAACCCAGTGCTAACAGGGAACCTGATAATGATAAGTCAGCGCTCTAAGTGTCATCAATGATTATCTTTTCTTGTGAAATGCCTGGTGTAATCGTTAACACTGGTTCATTAACTGGTGGGAAAATTTTCTCACTGTGGCATCTCTAATGTGCACCCCCCGTTTGATTTTGTTGTGATTTATACAGGGTTATTACCTCCGCCAAGGAGGATATGTTTTTGCTGGTGTTGGTCTGTTTGTCTGTTTGTCTGCAAAATAACTCAAAAAGTTGTGAACGGATTTTGATGAAATTTTCAGGAGGGGTTGATAATAGGACAAGGAACAGTTGATAAAATGTTGGTGGTGATCGGTTGAAGCGAAGTGGATAAAATAATACAATGGCGGGAAATCCGAGCTACTTGGTGGAGGTCTGCGCTCTCTGAGTGCTCTAGTTTGTATTGTTATTCACTGTTCAAAGGCATGGCACTGTGGGAACATTGGCCCCCACGGCTTCCTGGGCGCTGTCAGGATCATTTACGGCCCAGGGCATATTCTCATTTATTCCTTAATACAAAAACTACTGTTTTTACCTGTGTGTCTGTGTTACAGCCAAGGAGATATAAACAGTCAGTTCAGCTCTGACCATAAAAAACATCCTGTATTTACACATATGGCATCTTGGTTATGTTCCACATAAGAAATGCAGTATATTGAGATGTAAATCTCAGGTTGGAACAGGTGACTTGGATGCTCTCTGAGCCACCAGATTACTGCCTGCAGCCGTTTTTGTCTTCAGTGACTTCTGCTGAAAGCTTGTGTCCTTGTGTCGTAGGAATCAATCGTGCACTTCCAGCCTGGGAGAGGTCTCGGACGGAGGAGGACATCCTGCGTGCAGCCCTGAGGCCCGGGAGCAAGCAGATGAACAGCGGGCCGACCTCGGCCTCCGAGGACTCCAATGCACTGGAGTGGGAGAATGATTTTGTGAGTACCCTTCCAGAGGACAGCGCAGATGCTGAGTTTGAAGGATTTGTCAATCCTGTCCTAGACACTCCCTCTGAGGACGCCTCGGACCGCGGCCTCAGGTTGGACAACCAGGACAGATAGTGTCCGGCACCAAAGGAGACATTTATTGTGTCCTCTTCATGTCAGAGCTCACCAGCTTTTTGTCTCATGAAATGGAAAACTTCTGAACACCCGCTTCATATTTGTAATATGAGACTCTAATGCTGCGGGAATATGTTGTGTATCTCTACACTACAGAACAGAACAGCGTAGTGGTGTTTTTATCAAATTCTCATTATTTCAGTGCCTTCATTTGCCGACCATTTCTGCATTGTAACGCAAACTGATCACTTAGCATCCATTAGCATTTGACACAGGGGATACATACAGAAAATGCCAAGTTACTCTGAAGTGAAGCTTTATTGCGAGAGCAGATGGCTGCTTCAGGAGCAGTGTGTTTGGGAGAGGGGGGTCATGGAGTTTAACTTATTATGTTGTACTTTTTAAATCTCAGCATGGAAATTTGTCCTTTGCATTTGACCTTAACTATAAATTTATCAGCAGCAAACAGTCACTGTGCAGTGTCCGGGGACCAACTGCAGTTCTGAGGCCAGTGTCTTGGTCAGTGGTAATGCCAAGAGTATTCCAGCATGTGTTCTGATGCGTGAGAAAACCCACACACACACACACAGAAAAACATCAACAAACTACAGAACAAGTCCTCACTCAGCTCTCAGTCTATCGCCTTAGTTTCAGCTCTGCACTTCAGTTTTACAAAGCTGTTGCATGATGGCAAAAAAGAAACTGAATTCCATACAGAGGTTTCTGATTTTAAAAAAAAAAAGGTAAAATATTAGACTAAATCATTCAGATTAATCTGTAATAATCCATAAACACGGGATTGTTTCCTGTCTCCAGTTGCTCGAGGAGGTGATGAGCTATTATTACCATCTGACACATGGATTGATGGCACAAACTAATTTCAATCCTACTTCTGTATGATTTTGCTCACTGTCTGATTGACAGTGATCACCTGGGTGTGCAGCATGTCATCAAAGCAGCAGCGCCCTCTAATAAGGCATGGATTTTGTGATTCACTGGCAGTGCCTGCACTCTGATGAGAAAGCAGTAATCAGTGCAGTGACCCTGCTTCAGTCAAGCCTAAGAGTAATATTGCCAATACAGGAACTATCAAATGCAAATCTGCGTAACTGTAATGAGCATTTTCTTATATTTTAATAGATCAACAACTAGGCGACATTCATTTGCTTTCAAAAAGGCTTTCATATCTGATTAAATGCTTGGGGCTAAGTGCCTGTTTCCACACGGTGTTTTTTTCTCTCTTGCCAGTGTCTGTTTTTTCAGTTGTTCCCAACAAGGAGAGTGTATGCGGCTGCCTGCACTTAGGCTTTTTTTTGTGTGGCCGTGCGCTTCTGATTCAAAATCTCTTGTGTACCTTTATGGTAAATCCCAAGCTGTCATCCACAAACTACCGCAACAAAGACAGAAAAGCCCATTTGTAGACGGCCCGACACTGAATGTTGCTGGAGAGTGTTGTGCTTTTATTTCGATAAGCTTGTCTTAAACTGTGTAGTCAACCCTCTGTTAACATAGCATCACGTTAGCGACCTAGCTAACATTAATGTCAAGATATTGTTGTCATAGAAACAAAATTCATGTGTAGTGCGTCATTTAAAAATGTGTTGGGATGAAGCGCTCCCCAGCGCCCTGCCACTGCTTTTCTGCCGAAGAAAAATGCAATGTGGACACAGGCCCAACTGTCCATAAAAATGCATGCAAACACTTTCACTCTCCATTTGTAGTAATATGTTCAGTAGTTTTATGCCTGTAAATACACACATTTGACAGTAGGGATGGGACGATCTACAATTTCATCGTGAATATCGTATCCAGCAGCGCCCAAAGAGACTGCTGGGCAACCAACAATAAAAGAGACAAACTGCACACACACACCAAACTCAAAACACAAAAAAAATCATATCAATCATTGGCATATTTCATATCAAAAGATATAATGCAATTTCAAATAGTTGAAAAGCCTGGCTATTTACGATTGTTTGTTGTTCACTTAAAAATATCTCTGTCCTATCTGTCCAATGATGATGCAATAATAATTATTTCTTAACAAAATACAAGTTGATGTGCTTCCAGTATGTTGAGGTGCCATTTAAAAAGCATATTCTCATGATTAGCAGGATAATATCGTAAATTGCGGTTATTTTGGCCAGGATAACAGTGACATTAAAATTTTCATTTTCTCATGCCCATCTGACAACAAGACACCTTTTATAAAACGACACAGTCAAGCACATATGATGACTCCTCATAATAGGCCCTGTTGTCCATCGCAGGCAGCTGCGTTTCAAACTGCCATTTTTCTTCTTTCTTTGACACTTTGATTTTATTAGACAGTCTTTTTTACATCATAGACAATAGCACAGAACAGTAACATCATTGCCAGGCACCATGACATCCACATATGACATGGGTTATTAAGAACAGCTGATCTTTATGTATGTAAATAATTAGCATAGCCACGATAGGCAAAGCATACAGCAAACCACAAAGCACTTTCCTTATTCCAACAAATTATTATTTAAACTGGCCTCTTTCATAGGTGGGCAGCTTCTCATCAAGTTGTTCTCTGGTTCATTGTCATAACCAGGTTTCTGAAAACAGCCTGGAATGCATGGAACAATTGGGAAATTGAAAAAGTCCTTGCATTTAAGAAGCTGCTGTAAGCAATATTTTGGCTGCTATCCTCAACCAAAATACATGTTAAACGTCACAAACCCAAACAGCTGGGGCAAAGCTAAATTATTAAACCGTTGATGTAATTGCTCTAAAATATGGGGTAGAACAATTGCAGAATATACAACATAGGTGGAACGTATCAGGGGATAATCTTCATTAAAGGGATAGTGCACCCAAAAATGAAAATTCAGCCATTATCTACTCACCCATATGCCGATGGAGGCCGTGGTGAAGTTTTAGAGTCCTCACATCCCTTGCGGAGATCGGCGGGGGGAGCGGCTAGCACACCTAATGGCAGATGGCGCCCCAGACTTCATTTTTGGGTTTTGGGTGCACTGTCCCTTTAAACACAAGTGCTGATTTCTGATTGGTTGCTGACAGTTGGTGTCCAGCAGGAGACAATTCAGTTTATAGTGCAATGACTTTTTATTTAATCTGATATGAAATCCAAACCTGTCACTCTGAACTAAAAACATTGATGAATCATAATCTGATTGTTTTTCACTGCTTATAATGAAAGCAATATTTTGTGGAGATCGTGTGAGTCTGGATGAAAAAAGGTTACCAAACATGCAAACATGACTCTGTGGTGTAAACTTTGTCATGTCCCTACATAGATCCAGTGCTGCTCTCCCAGTGAATCTGCTGTATACATTCTTCTACTTCTTGTGCTTTTTATATCCTGATGTTTTGACCCATCACATAGTGGGGAGAGTGTTTCACGTTGATTACTGAATCTGTTTGAATCAAAAGTAGTTCACTGATTGCACTCTAGTGTGTGGATTTTTAATTTGGTGTTCACAGCTTAGAAGACATTCACTGAAATGACTTACACGCGTGAAAGGGAAATTGATGTGAGAAATGTGCACTGCTGTTGAAGTGTGTAGACGAGACACGAGGTGATTTGCAGACATTTTTACTTTTTAATATTTGAGTGTGTGATTTCAAAAAAAATTTGTTTTGAACACATTTCAATATTATTTTTTGCTGTGATTATATGATCTCTGATTAATCACTGTAACTCCCTGTATAAAACTGTAACTTAACATTCCTTGTTACACTGAGCCTGAGAGAAAAAAATAAAATACAGAGAAAAGTTTCAGGCATCACATACAGTCACTGTCATGACCAAGTGTGTAAGGGGTATTAAGGACAGCTGGGATTGGTAGTGTTTTATAACAGAAACATCACCTAAATCTATATCTTGTTAGCTCTTGCTGAAAGTACATTTTTTATGTGACTTATTATTTTCAAGGCGATTTCACACTGGCAAAATGTTTGACTGTTTGTAGTGCACACACATAAAGTGCAAGACTTAAGGGTGACAAAACAAAGTAATTGGTGACTTTAGAGAACCATAGGCAGCACCTAAACTACATCAGAACGCTAATTACAAATCTGCAAAACAAATTTAAAAAGTAGATCTAAACTCTACAAGAGCTTTTGATGTTCTACGAAGTTGAAATATCACTTTAACAAGTGTATTAAAGGAACTCCTGTTATTTTAATTTCATGAAGAAAACTGTTTTTCACATGCCTCCACGATGAACAATGAGTGCAAAAATGTCGAACACTCTTCATGACTTGAGGTCATTGGGGTCCGCATTTAACAACAACAGCACAACTATATCAAAATATGTTTACAGAGTCTCACAACTTGTGCAGTATAATCCTCGTGACATTTATCCAGTCAGTTGTTTAGTTATTCCCAGACACATGCATTAGCACTAAAACTTTACAATTTACATGTCAGCAGTATCACATAACACGTTACCACCCGACATTACCTGCTATGACACAACATGACCCTCATCATTTTAAAATGCCTACTCATTTTTCTGAGGTCATTTTGGTGAAAGCAACACAAATGTAGTGTAATAAGTAACTTAATACTCTACACAGAGAGTGGTATTGTGAAGTAACTTATTACTTTCACCTTAAGGTAACTAGTTATATGTAATATATTACATTTTGAGAGTAACTTGCCCAACACTGCATGTCAGAACAAACAGTCTCACATTGCATGCATTTGAACTCATAGGCGTGTTATATTGTAATGTTTAGCAACAAAATTATGTTTGGGAAGTACTGATTGGACCCCAACTACTTAAATTCATGAAGAATATTTGCCTTTTTCAATTCTTTGTTCACAACAGGCATGCGTGAAAAACAAAGTTTTCTTCACAAATTCAAGGTAACGTGGGGTGAGTAATTGATATACAAATGGCTGTTTTGCTGATATTCTTTTATATAGGGTAGTATTACTGTATATAGATGTCTTACAAGACAAGAGATGGGGCTGCCTTTAAAGGGGAAGTACACCCATTTTTGAAATTCCTACAAGTTATTCCATGGTTTAAGGCAGTCCAAAGATATTAGTGAACATGAACAACTCTCCCAAATCCAGGAGCTAGAGTGCTAAAATTAAAGCTTGTGATGTCATCAGATAACAGTGTGGAGCTGCTCCATGAACAATGAATGCTGAAAGATGTTCTAGATGACACTGACAGCACTCAGGTGAATGTTCTTAGTATATGGGTACATTTTCTGCTTCATTACTGAGATCACTACAATAGGTTAAAGCTTATTTGCTTGTAAAAAGGCAGACAAACATTCTGTGGGTCCACAAAATCAGTCTCCTATTCATTGCCTATGGAGCAGCTCCAGACTTTATACTTGATGACATCACAAGTTTGAGACTTACTTCTTTGGTTTCTGGCTTTGAGAGAGGGCAGCTCATGTTCACAAATATGGATTGAACATTTCTACACCCTTGAAATAATATATTGGAATTCGTAATTTAGGTGGTCTTTCCCTTTAAGTTTTACATTGCACTGTGTTTCTTTAATCGTGTTGCATTGCAGCTAAATTGGTTGAGTCCCTTCTTAGAAATCCTACTGTTTGGTCAAAAATATAGCTATTTGATTCGTTCCATATTGCCCAGCCCTAACTGGTACTAGTATCATAGCATCATGATTTTTGCTCATTTATGTTATTCACAAAATCATGACTCGGTCACTAACAAACAACCAAGAAACCTCCTCAATCTCTGCTGAATGTATTCCTCTCTGTGAGGGCAGTATACTGCGCAACTGAAATTGACTTCTGGTGGGAAAAGCATGTTATTTGATGCCTTCAAGTAAATAAAATGGAGTAATGATGCAAAGAATAAATGGAAGAAACTAGCACACATCACACAGGTCACAATTCATGCAGCACTGACTCATGTTAACAACATACAACCAGCATTAAAATGAATGTTTGTTGTTAAAGCTTTTATACTCCTAGCAGAGCACTGTAGGTCACAGTGATCCTATGTCTGACCTGGGTTTGGAAGTGTTGCGAGTTGCTTCAAGATGCAGGGACGGGCTGCTGAGAATCTGTAACCAAATGTCCTTTTTGCTGCTCCGTGTTTAAAATACAGCGGTGATTCAACTTCCTGACAGTTCATGATCGAGATGTTACTCACTGGCTGTTCTGAACACTCTGTGCCTGGTGGAGCTTTGCTGTAAAACATCCATTGTGAACAGGAAGTGATGCATGCAAGACAAGAGTGGCACATAAAAATACTCAAACTGCATATAGATTTAATATTTTTTATTTCAGTTGTGTCTCCTATCACCCACTGACACTGTGTATGATGATCAGTCAGTCAAAGCAGGTGATCTTTGTAATGTGGAGTGAGTAAATAAAACTCTGAGGATGGCTTGGCAACAAAAATGGCAACCTTGAATATCGTCAAACCTGCCAAGTGTGTATGATGATGTGGTTATTAATTCAGAGGGGCTGCAACGCTAAATAATACTGACCATATTAATGCAACAACTCAAAAAACAAATAGGAATGTGATAACTTAAGTTGTTAAATTATTTAATATGTTTAATTAGTTACAGTAAGTGAGGACGTTTATGAACCAGATAATGCACCAATGTCATGTTGTTTACCACTGTGCACTAAGTTGTAGAGCTGTTTAAAGGGACAGTTCACCCCAAAATCAAAAGTACACAGTTTTCATCTCACCTGTAGAGCTACTTATCAGTCTAGATTTTTTTGGTGTGAGTTGCTGAGTTTTGGAGATATTGGCCGTATAGATGTCTGCCTTCTCTCCAGTATAATGGAACTAGATGGCACTTGGCTTGTGGAGCTCAAAGCACACAAAAAATAAATAAATAAATACATTTAAAAACTCAACAGCGATGTCTCTTTTCAGAAGTCATGACCCAGTTACTCAATATAATCCACAGACCCTGTTGTGAGCAGTTTCATGTTGGAACTATTTTCTTTCTACTGAATACACTTGCTAATCATATAGCACAGAGGGAAGTGTGCATCTTATGCTAGCTCACCTAGCATCACTGGGCTAGCTAATATTACAGCTCAGCCAGGGAGTACACCATTAATGTTTACATTTTGTGCTGTTATGAGCACGAGCTTCTTGTTTATGAGTAGATGCACACTTCCTTCTTCATGGAGTGCCATGTAGTTCCATGATATTGGAGAGAAGGCAGACATCTCTATAGCTAAACTAAATTGATAAATAGCACTACAGGTAAGGGGAAAAATGTGTATTTGTGATTTGGGGGTGAACTGTCTCTTTAATCACATTGCAGCAAGATATTTGGTAGTTGTTCCCTTAACAGTTACTAAAGCTTAGTTTGTTACATAAGGACAAATAAAATGTATCTGATGTTATCACTTACCTGTCCCTTGATGGTGGTCACTGGAAGGGAGTTTGTCACAAAACTAGACTAGATTGTGCACATGTATGTTTACAATTCTGCAGCAACAGAGACTGAACTGCTTGACAAAATGATGTGTGCTTCATTTGCAGCTTGGACTTCTCTGTAAATAAAAGTTGTCTTTGCATATTTGCATTGTCATGGCATATTTATTACAAGAGAATAGGCAGTGGAGATACATGTGGTAACTGATTTTTGTACATAAATGAATAAAATATTTGATTATTGGATACCAGGGTTTGGGTTTTTTTGTATGACAAGCTTTGCATTAGGAGACATGGGTATATAGTGTATAAGTTTCCAGAATCAGCTCACATCACTATGTGCTGTTCATTGTGAATATTTAATTAGATCAATGTAAACTGTAAGCTGCACTGCCACAACACACTGGTATTGGGGTTATCACAGCCTCTTCTGTTATGTTGTAAAAATAGCATCCGATCAATTCTACTGGTTGTATTTGAACATGCTGTAGACTTTCAGAGGCTACTGTAATGGGTAAAGTAATGGAAATAATTTTCAGAGATTTAAAAGAATTTACGACCATTTTCTAGCACATAGCACTTTGGGCTTTGCTTGGTTGCAGTGAATCCATCTTCAGAGTTAACTTGTATCCTGAGTCATTTTGTGTAGTTTTTCCTGTAAGAACTGATATCATAAATATGACACATCTGATGACTTGATATTGTGTCATTCATGCTGACTTATTATGGTCAAGGTCACCTATGCTCAGAAAATTATTTAGGAGGATATATTGACAGAAATGGAATATAATAATGAGTATGTTTCGTAGAGTGTACAATCACCCGAAAATAAAGATTGTTTTCGCTACCTTAGAATGAGTCATTTGTATCTACATAGGGAGTGAGTCCTTGTCTCTGTAGTTCACCATGTTGGACCACCACATTTCTACACTAGCCCAGAACTAACAAACCAAACAGTGGCTCTAGATAGGGCCATTCGTGCTTTTGCATTGGCCATTATATTTAGCAGCCCCACCACAACAAGCCAAACAGCACCTGAAAAACACTGATTTTTATTGTGAAACTGCTTTATTCAGTATTTTTACAGGTTTTAATAACCGGGTTTGTTTGCTTTGGAGAGGAAGAGACCTCTGTGAATAATTCATCTCCTGGTAAAAACCTCCCAAATGTCTGGTTCTTAAGTTACCAGGGAAAAAAAGGGTGAGCACACTTTAGCAGGAGCTGGCAAGCAGCTTATCAACAACGTGCTGAATAGCATCAGAGAAACACTGATTTATAACATGAAACTGCTTTATTTTTTTACTGCTTTTAATCACCTGGTCAATTTGCTTTGGAGAGTAGGAGTCTTCATTGGATAATTTAGCTCCTGGTAAAAACCTCCTAAACAG